GCATGTTGTCTGTTTGAGGAAGTTTTGTGGTATTTTTATCTACTTTAAGCAAGTCAGGAACCTTGCTGTATATGCAGGATGAGAGAGCTTTCAGAAACATCTTCATTTGTGTCCAGAAGATGAAAGAAGGTCTCAGGGGTTTGGAGTGACGTGAGGGTGAGTAATTAATTACAGAATTTGCATTTTTGGGTGAACGAACCCTTTTATCTTGAAGCAGAGAAAAGGACTATCTTGTTCATAAACAATGGTGTCAGGACTTTTCACCTTGATGACACTGACACATTCATTGACACGAATTCTTGCTTTTGAAGAATGAGCTATTCATTTTGAGCAAGAGACACGCTTTTGCAGGTAATCAACTAGGTTTTTGCAGTTTGCATTGAGAAAAACTAAATCAAGCAGCGTTTTCTTGACAAGTAAAAATATTCTCTTGTGTTCAGAAATATGTCAAATTGAACTGAGTTTTCCTTAAAACAAGCTAAATAATCTGCTGGGGGTGGGGGATTGATATCTGAACTAGACGAAAAACTAAAGCTATTATTTTATATTATTGTTGGCACCATATTAGACACGTTTGTGTGACGAATGTTTGACACCACATGTGTTTAGTTTTCATTAGGCCTATATTATTACCAAAAACCTTATTCACTTTTGTAAATATTTACAGTAAAGTCAAATAAGTGTAGAGCCCTACACAGACTCCAGTATACAAAATGAGCAACATGTAATTATAACACAAAACATTATTTACCATCACTGTTGGCCACAGGGGGTTCTGTGACCAGTCCTTCTTGACGGTCGAAGCTTTCATCTTGACCTGGGACGGTGGAACTGATGTTTCTTTCTCTCAGGAAGAGAGCAACTACTCCGAGTACGGTAAATAACATGAGGGGTTAATTTCCGTACACTTAAATATGAGAAATGTTAAATAACCTACAATAAATACTGAAATTTACTGTACGTAAAGCTCGTTTGTCAGAGTAAGCCTTAATAAATCGTACGCTATCACTTGACGATACAAGAAAAGCAAATTATTCAAAGCAAACTTTGTACAACTCAACTAAACACTTGTCAAGTAAGAGTAATGGCGAAATGAGGAATGTAAGAGGTGTCTCTCGCAAGAATTCGAATGTGTTCCAGCGTTTCCCAGCCAACTGATACGTGATTGATCAGTTTTGCGCTGTGTATCTTTAATTTTCTCCGAGTTGAAAAATACACTAGTTTTAGCGGTTGTTTTTGTCCTTCACGGGTGTTTTTGGAGTAAAATAAACGTATTTTTTCATGAAATCTTTGACTCGTAAATATTTCCTGTTTGACGAATCAATACTGGTCATTTGGTGAACTTGAGATTCGTTTTTTTTTATCAGGGTCGTTTTAAACACATTTACAAGCTTTGTCTTTGCGTTTATTTCGTAACTTTAATTCAAATGTAAGATATGGCCGCTGTGATGTAACATAAGCGCGTGTATACTTATTGAACATGACATATCATAGTGTATATCAATTTAAATAACTAGATCTGCCTTATCAAACTCCATATACTCTGCAAATACAAAAGTATGGTAACTTAAATTTAATGCTGAAATTAATAAAATGGCGCCATGTCATACTAATATTGCTTTAAAAGTCCATCCATTCACCTTTACCACCAGCAAAAACCTTTTAACATGTAATAATAACAGTCTTATTAATATTAATAGTCTTAGTAATATTCTGTTCTCCCTGCAGATTTTCTCCAAGAAGTCTCCTGTCACAACACACACATTTAGCCAACCTAAAGGCACTTTTTATAGCCAACATCTATCTATCTATCTATCTATCTATCTATCTATCTATCTATCTATCTATCTATCTATCTATCTATCTATCCATCATTTTCAAAACTCTTGTCCATATATGTTACTGTCTCTGTTATGTGTCTCTAAATCATAATATCTGTTGTCTTTATTTTGTTAACTTTACTCTCTCTCTCTCTCTCTCTCTCTCTCTCTCTCTCTCTCTCTCTCTCTCTCTCTCTCTCTCTGTCTCTCTCTCTATCTGACTACTTGTCTGTCAAAAATCAATTCACATTGTAAAAGGAAGCAGCCTGTGAAGCAGAGGCTGAAGAAAAAAGCTTCAGCAGTTGGAAGCAGGAGGAATGGGTGGTCGGTTGAAAGAAGAGCCACAACAATGCATCCAAAGATGAAGCAGTTGTTATAGTATGTACTTTTTAAAACTGTTTTTTTTTTTTTCAGAAAAAAAAGTCAAACATTGAATGCACAGTGCATCCGGAAAGTCTTAGCGTCTCACTTTTTCTACATTTTTTTTGTTACAGCCTCATTCTTAAATGGATTAAATTCATTTATTTCCTCAAAATTCTAAACATAATACCCCATAATGACAATGTGAAAAAGATTTTTTTGTAATTGTTGCTTATTTTTATTTTTAAAATTTTAAATCCTGAAAAATCACACGTGCATAAGTATTCACAGCCTTTGCTCAAAACTTTGTTGATGCACCTTCGGCAGCGATTACAGCCTCAAGTCTTTTTTAAGATAATGCCCCAAGCTTGGCACACCTGTCTTTAGGAATTTTTGCCCAATCCTCTTTGCAGTATCTCTCAAGCTCTATCAGAAATGCCAACTCGTCCAGCTGGGACTCGAACCAGTGACCTTCTTGCTGTAAGGTGATAGTGCTATCCACTGAGCCACCGTGCCACCCTTCTACATTAATAATGTGTAAAATCGTAAAACATCTTTACAATGTGGAGCGTTCACCCTTTTGGCTGTATAATCAGAAGGTTCTGCCTTTATTTTGAGTTAATCTGTAGATTGTCACTGTCCAATTGTACAGTAGTCACACAGTTTTGCCAATATTTGAGCTAATCCTGAGCTAATGTTTAGAGGCCCTCATGGTTTCATCCTTTTGTTTAGTTTTTTCAATGTAGAAGAGTTGTTTGTGTTGTATCAGCCTTTCTTATTTCCTAATTTCACCACAAAGTTAAACATCTTGTATGATATTGCAGTTTTTCTCAGTCACTTTAGTAGGTTTCTCAGATCAAAATTGAAATGAGCAAAACAGGAAGTTCATTTCTCAAAACAATACGTACAAATAGCAAAACACCATGGATTATCTGCATAAGCCAGTCTCTTGAATCCTTAGTTCATCTCTCAAAACTAAATTTCTGTGTCAATGAATGTGTCAGTGCCATCATAAAGACAAGTCCTTGTGTCATTGTGTACGGATAAGACAGTCAGATCATTTAGTCTTGTTGTCCATAAAACATTGTACTCTGGAGGGGTCTCCTGGTGTAAACGATTGCAATATTTTTGTTTGCAGTTTGTACTGTAATTTGTTGACAGATCATGTCATTGTGATACAGAAAGACAAATGCAGCACCGCATAGCACAAAAAAACAAAAACAAAAGTAGAAATGTGAACATAGGACAATCTCAGATGCCATTTCATCAGAAAAAGTCAAGATTAACCTGGGAAAATGTACAAACTGTAGACCAGGGGTCACCAACCTTTATGAAACTGAGAGCTACTTCTTGGGTACCGAAAATTTGGAGGGCTACTAGTTTGATAAACACCTCTCAAATAACAAATTTGCTCAATTTACTTCTAGTTATACTTTATATTTTTGGTAATAATTAATGATATTCATCCATGTGAAGACACTGATCATGTTAATGATTCTCACAAAAGTTATCAGCAATGATTTAACAGGGTGGGAAATACCCTGTATTTAATGTATCAATGTGCAACACTTTATTTTTTATATATCTCTGCAAATATTTACATTTTTAAATGATTACTTCTATATTAGATGAAGCTTACTGGTAAGTGGCGCTATGGTGAGCTATTTTTAGAACAGGCCTGCAGGCAACACATGTGATCCTCGCGGGCTACCTGGTGCCCGCGGGCACCATGTTGGTGACCCCTGCTGTAGACAGATTTAGAAAGAAAAGTCTAATGGAAATGTATAGATAAATGCATTATGACAACATATGACAACTTGGATGTAAAGACTTATGCAATGAACAAACGATTAAATGTTGTGGGGGTGGATTAATTCAACAGAAACCAAAATAATAAATTAATAAAAATAATAAATTTAGATCAACAAAACATGACATAAGCAGCTGATAATGTAGTAAACATCAGAGAATTGCACATAATCATTTGCATGGTTTTGCAAAAGCATTTGCGACTTGTTCAAAGGAGTCAGAAGCTGCTTTTCTGATGTGCACAAGTGACACGATGATGTGGAGGTTGAACAGGTAGTTTCGAGAATTTCAATTCTGATCTGAGACATGGACCAACGCGACTGAGAAAAACTGTAATTGGTATGCGGCCATCAGAGATGCTTGACTGAATGTTGTCAATAATTAATAATATACACATATTTTTTCTTTTTTGCTTTTCTGTTGCTTTAAACATTAAATACCCAATCTTGTCATTGCAGGTTAAGAAACTCCTCGCCGTTGAGTACTAGCCTGTTCTGCTTCTCAGCAAGGAGACTAAGAACAAAGAACACAAATGTGAAATATTGACCCCTCGGTGCACACTTTCCACTTATGCCCAAGACTACCTTCAGAAGATTGGCTCATTTTCTCAACACTTTTGTGAAGGTGAGATGCATGCGGGATATTTTTAAAGTCACTGTAAAAGACACTGGGTTCCACACAACTCCTTCAAGTTTACTTAATTGTTTTTTTTTTTCTTTTTACAAATTTAAGCGAATTAAACATTAAAAAGTAAGTAATAAACTAATTTGCAACAAGTAGTTTAAACAAGCACATTTTTTGAGTGTATAGTTAACATCTTGTCTTGATGTTTGTCTTGATGTTTACCTTTATGAAGGAGCTGCTGGAGGAGGCGACTGATGGAGAGCCAAGTGCAGCAGGTGACCATTTAAGGAGCAGGTGGAGGAGGTGACCTTGGGCACGACCATTTCTCCTATGACCAAACGTCTTGTGCAGAGCTGCAGTTTAGGCGCCTGAGGCTGGAGAACGCTAGACGTCCATCGTGGAGAAGCTGCAGGTGGGAGTGGTCACCAGCTGGTGTACCTTCAGGATCAATGCGAGGACTCGTCTGTCACTGGAGTCTTACAGGAATCAGTCTCATGCTCTCCACTCCTCCATGACCACCACAGCAGCTGCTTAGGATACGGCCTGGCTCAGGATTTTAGAAACCTTGGGATTAATAACAAAAAAAAGACTAACATACAGTAAGTGCAGATGCCGTTCAAATTATAATGTCTTTTAGGAAGTGTTCCTGGCTCCAGTTGCCCTAAATAATGCAGCATAACAATCCTTTAGAGGAGAGGTTCTCAAAGTGGGGGTCGGGACCCCCCGAGGGGTCGCGGGACAATGAAGGGGGGTTGCCTGGTGATTTTCAAAAATCAATTAATTTGTATTAAACCTTAAGACTTACTGTATTTTATCAATAACCTACTGAAGAGGAAAAAAATAGTCGTTTATAGTTAATATAAACTATATAGTTACTATAGTAGCTTATAGTTACTAGTTCTATTGGATTGCGACTTCTCGGGTAATTACATTATACTAAAGACACCAAGTACCAAGTACCAAGCCCTCTATAAAACAAGTGAGAATTTGGCCAGAGGGAGCTATGTCTGAATTACAGGACTGCTTTGATCGCACAGACTGGACTGTGTTCAGAGAGGCCTCCACAAATGGCCAAGGCACAGATATGAATGAATATGCTGATGCTGTATCCAGTTATATTTTTAAGTGTATGGAGGATGGCTGTGTCACTAAGAACATTAAAGTCAGAGCGAATGAGAAACACTGGATGACTGCAGAGGTGCGGACTTTGCTAAAAACAAGAAACTCTGCTTTCAAGTGTGGGGATGCAGCTGTCCTTAGGTCTGCTCGGGCCAATCTGAAAAGGGCAATCAGAGTGGCAAAATGAGCCCATGGAAATAAGATTAAAGAATACTTCCAGGACCACAAAGACACTATAGGGGCCCTATCATACAACCGGGGCAATGTGGCGAAAGGCGCGGCGCAATACTCTTTTGCTACTTTTAGCTCGGCGCAAGGGTCATTTTGAGGTGTTGCGCCACGCTGTTTAAATAGCAAATGCATTTGCGCTCAAATGTGCGCCCATAGGCGTTCTGGTCTAAAAAAGCAGGCGTGTTTTGGCGCGTTGCTATTTTGAGAAACTGTAAATAGTCTGATCTTTAGACCAGAACAAAGTCGCTCTGTTGTCTGGCGCAAAGTGCGCCTGGCTTACACACTACAAACAAGATGCAGAGCAATACGCAAATATCTTTACATATGAAAAATATATAATATCTTAAGGATATATATATATATATATATATATATATATATATATATATATATATATATATATATATATATATATAATAAGGATATTTACAGGATATAAATAAAAATGACTAAAATATTACGAAACATATTAATTTCTAGCCTACATGAAGATTTAAAAACCACTGCCTTACTTTCTTTCTCTCGCGAGGCTTTTTCAGTTCATTCATTTTGCTTTTGTATAATATTATTATTATTAGCAGTATTATTTATTATATCCATATTTATATTTGTTTTATTAAAAAACAAGCTTAGATTTGTCCACCTGTCAAATTTTAGACAATATGGGGCATGGCAGGTGTATTTGGAAGTAACTCAGTATTTTGAGCACACTTTGTTATTATTGTTCATTTATTCGTTTGCTGGAAATTAGAACTGAATTTAGAAATAGTTTTGAAACAAATCTTTGCGCGTAACAAACAAAATTAATTATTTATAGGCTAATTGATGTCTGTGCGTAAAGGTTTCCCTATCCACGAGAGCAAAAGCGAAAGTGAACTTACTTTACGTCAAAATGCGCTTATGGCGTGACGCAGCTGGCTCTTAAAGGGAATGGGAGATGAGGCTTTAATTGGTTTATTCTCAAAACACACCTATAACTCATTAAGAAAATAAACTCAACCCTTTTAGACCATGCGCCATGGCGCAAAGCGGATATTCCCGTCCTTAAATTAGCAAAAATGCATTCTGACACGCCCTGAAAGCGTTTGCGCCCTGCGTTTTGCGCTCTGCGCATGGATCGTCAAAATAGAGCCCTAGAAGTTTATGGCAGGGTATTCAGTCTGTCACAGACTATACAAGCATCTCATTGTCCTGTGAAAACAACTTTAACTTACTTAATGATCTTAACAACTACTTTGTAAGGTTTGATGCTGTTTTACACCAGCAGTGAAGGCCACATTGCAGCACGACGAGCAGGTGCTAAGCTTTGATATCACTAATGTCCGCAAGACCCTAAAGAAAGTAAACGCTGGTAAGGCGGCTGGGCCTGACAAAATACCAGGCAGAGTACTCAAGGGGTGTGCAGAACAACTTGCGCCTGTACTGACGGACATAATTAATATCTTTCTGCATCAAGCTGTTGTGCCATCATGCTACAAAACATCTGCTATCATTCCAGTGCCAAAAAGACCTTCAGTCACTTCTTTAAATGACTATCGGCCGATAGCTTTAACTTCACTGATAATGAAATGCTTTGAGAAACTGGTAAAAAGTCATATCACCTCCATCCTGCCTACTTCACTTGACCCATTTCAGTTAGCCTGTCGGCCAAACAGGTCAACTGATGATGCTATATCCACTGCACTGCATCTGAGTCTTGAACACTTGGAGGGTAGAAACACATCGGTACAGGTGCTGTTTGTTAGTTTTAGCTCTGCTTTTAATACTATTATTCCTCAGCACCTGGTCAATAAATTAGTATCTCTAGGTCTTAATACACCTCTTCGGAACTGGATTCTTGACTTTCTGACAAATAGGCTACAGTTTGTGCGAGCGGAGGGTATTTCGTCATCTACCACTCTGCTCAATACAGGCTCCTCTCAGGGGTGCGTCTTGAGTCCACTGCTATACACTCTGATGACCCATGATTGTTGTGCAAAACTTAGCACTAATCACATTATTAAATATGCTGATGACACCACAATAGTGGGTCTCATCCAGGATAATGATGAGAGGAACTACAGTGAGGAGGTAAAGCTCTTCACAGAGTGGTGCAGGGATAACAATTTAGTTCTTTGGCCATGTATATTATGTATATTATCAGGAGTCTTTCTCCTGATAATATATGGACCTAGACTGGGAACGACAAAGAAATATATATATATGTATATATTTTTTTTAATAAAATTTTTTTAAAAACTAAATATAAGAGCTAAGTTAATGTATAAGAAAGTGAGTTATAAACTCACCAAACAATTTCAAATATGCAAAAGCCCACTTGCAAATTAATTTAGATTCATTTAATAAGAAAAATTAAATACACAAATAGTTGGAAAGTGTAATGGTTAATTGTAGCCTAGTTATACATATTCATATAGAGAGATGCATTTTGTTCTATTGTTTATATATAAAGTTGCATTTTGAAAATAACAAAATTATAACCAAACAATACAGTGTAATATGGAGTAATGATGTGCTTTGATAAGAATGCAGTGGTATTGACTACCAGACAGCTGCTGAACATTTAGACAAACAATTTACTACTTTCTAAAATTCAAAGGACCATTTAGCTACCTGACAAACAAAAACCCAGACAACATTAGATTTTTTTACATTGATTTATTGACAACAATATCACTAGAGATTGCCAGTTTTCTTTAAATGAAGCTGAATCCTTGCATCAAAAAAAAAAAGGTATGTATAAATACTCTGCAAAAATTATTTTCTTACTTAAGAGTCTCAGACTTGTTTCTAGTCCAAATATCTAAAAATTCTCAGAAACAGTAAGGAATGGAAAAATAAAAGAAAAAAAAATTCATGCCATTTTACATATTACCTGGACGTATGCGAAACATATCAAAATAGTTTTTTTATTTGATTTATGATTTAAGAATTATAACTTGAGGTATAACAAAAGTCATAATATTTTAAATGTTTTGTTATTTGCAGCTACAAATTGTGACCCTGACTTTCCCATATTTAGCATATATAATTATTTTCTTTGTAACAAATTGTTACAATAAATATTATGAAACAATAAGTGATAAACATTATGAATGCATGTACAGTGCAAACTTCATTGCCAATATATAAAATGTACTGTATAGCTAAATGAACACAAATAAGTAGACCATTTATAATTTTGAGTTTCTCTATGCATTTATAGATATATGATCGTTTAATTGTTTAAACTAGAACAGGATTGCATTATATCAAATGTAATTGAATGCAATGCAATTTTAAAATTTTAAATAAAATTCAATTTTCATATCTGTTTAGATTTATTTCAATATTTAAGAAAGTCAAATATGGAGGAATAATGTAGTGTAGATTTGGCTGACTACCCAGACCACGCAAGTGTATTGTCTAATCTATGAGAAAATATATATCTTTAAATTAGTTATTAAATATATAATAATTACTCCCTTGCTGAGACAAAAAAGTCAATGAAAATTAGCCTACATAACACACTTTCTTATGTAGGTTAATGTTCTTTTACTTTTTTTGTTGATGTAGAACATGTAGCTAGCCTGCCTGCACATAGTTTGCTAAAATTTTAGTCAAACTAACACATTGCTGTTATATTACACCAATGGTTGGGTGTGATAAAGCTCTGGAGGCTTATACTGTACTGTACTCTCTCTACTGGACGCATCAGGAACAACAGGGGTTTAAAACTGCCTGGGCCGTAGATCTGTCTGGATCCAAGTCTGCAGTCTCCCCCTTCTCTAATTATTTGACTGAATTTTTATTTTCCTATTTTTACAGGAATAATCTAAATTTTAACGTAGAAATATGAGTTACTCTCTAAAAATACATACAAATCTTTCCTTTAAAAAAATAACGTAATACCAAATTACAAGCAATAACTGAAAATTTAATGTTAGAATTTTTTATTACAGAACAGATGTGTAAAACAACAGGTATTTCCCTGTATAATGAAAAAACTGGAAAATTCTGTAAAAAAATACAGACAATTATCTGTAAAATGACGTTTATTTTTACAGTGCAGTTCTGAAGAGGCAATAACACTAAACTAATCTGATAAGGGGTTCAAATGAAGAGATTTAAAAGACAATGAAGAGCTTATAAAGACATTAAAAAGAATAAAAACAGCACACAACTTCTCAAACTGCAACCATAAAATGGTCAGAATACTCCTGCTTGTTTGTTTGTTTGACAGTTTTGCACACAATGCTTGCTATTGCAGCTAATACAGGCTCAGAAATGCAACCGCTTCCCACAGATAACTGAGGTTATTCTCTTCGGCCCCTCAGAAACAAGAATGTCTTATATTGGGGGCTTCAGAAGTCTTACACCATATGTTAAATCTCAAGTAAAAAATGTAGGAGTTATCTTTGATTGGGAGTTTTGTCTAGAAAAATTGTATTGTTTTATGTTCAATCCACTTAACTTTGTAAAAAGTATTAAGTTAACTGGGTGGCACGGTGGCTCAGTTCTCAGAATCAAAAAACTCCATCACATGTATGCTTGTACATCAAACACATTCAGCTCAATAACGTTAAATCCAGCTAATCTGTGTTAAATCTACAAACGATGTCATTTCTTGTTCCTGAATGATCTCATTTGAAACACACAGTAATCAGCAGTAATCCACATTTAAAAAATAGAACAAGCACTTATTTTTGACAAATATGACTTTATTTGAAACTTTAGTACAAAATTCATGATTGTCATCAGTTGTGAGGCTTGTCGCCCCAGACTAATGTCAGTTTTTGTCCGTGTTCAGCTCAGCTCCACCTTCAAGATGGGCAGTTTCCAGTGGCACCACGTGGAGGAACGGACTTCGCCACCTATATATACAGGGTTTGGATTATCACTCACCATGAACTACAACTACACACTAAATCACTAGTCAATAAATGATGTCCTCCAACCATAAATCATATACCACATTAGCAAAACATTAGACTAGAGAAGGTTGTATATGAGGACAATATTAAAGCAAATACTAAAGGTAGCAACTTTATTTATCTTCAGAACACAAATGAAGATATCTGAATGAAAATAATGAAGTTATTTTTGTTAAATCTGAGAGCTCCTTAATCTCTCATAGACAGCAAGATTCCTGACTATGAGGATACTTTTATGTGCACATAAAACAAAAATAACTTTATTCAACAGTTTCTTCCCTCAGTGTCAGTATAGGGCGCGCGTTCACGTGTTGCGCCTCTGACATATAACCTTGGATGTGCCTGTGAAGTTTTTAAGAGAGGAAGTCAGAGAGGAAGTCGCACAGGCATCCGTGGGGTATATGTCACTGCACAGTGCTTGTGAACGCGTGCCCTATAATCACACGGAGGAGAAGAAACTGTGAATAAAAATGTTTGTTTTATGTGAAGGCGTATGATCTGTTTTGAGGATGTTTTTTTACTGTTTTTGTGGACTTTGAGTCTGGATGAGGGAGCTCTAACATAAAAATAAAAATATTTTAAATAGTGAACACGAGGATGAGTAATAAATAACAAAACTTACTTTTTTTCAATATTTTATTTATTAATATTTTTTGCTTGTTTTTAGAAGAATTTCTGATTAGTCAATAACATGGCCAGATTTATATTTCAATATAGGCATTTTTTATAGTTTTATTTATTAATGATGTTTTTATATTATTATTATAATTTATTTACTTTTTTATTGTTTTATTTATTAATGATGTTTTATATTTTATCAGGAGTCTCTCTCCTCTGGCTCAAATTACATTTCTTAGAGAGAGACACTCAAAGTATATGGACCTGGACTGGGAACGACACATAAAACAAAAATAACTTTATTCAACAGTTTCTTCCCTCAGTGTCAGTATAGGGCACGCGTTCACGTGTTGCGCCTCTGACATATAACCTTGGATGTGCCTGTGAAGTTTTTAAGAGAGGAAGTCAGAGAGGAAGTCGCACAGGCATCCGTGGGGTATATGTCACTGCACAGTGCTTGTGAACGCGTGCCCTATAATCACACTGAGGAGAAGAAACTGTGAATTAAAATGTTTGTTTATTATTTTTTACTTTTTATAGTTTTATTTATTAATGATGTTTTTTTATTTATTTATACATATTTTTTTACTTTTTTTATTGTTTTATTTATTAATGATGTTTTTTATTTTTCTATTTTAAACTTTTTTATTGTTTTATTTTATTAATTGTTTTTCCAGTTTTTTTTCAAATTGGCTGGTGAGTGATAATGTTCATTGGAAACCCTGTATATATATCAGTTGATCCCAGTAGTCTTTGGTCAGGAGTCTCTCTCCTCTGGCTCAAATTACATTTCTTAGAGAGAGACACCCAAAATATATGGACCTGGACTGGGAACGACTGAGATATATATATATATTTATTTTTTTTTTGTTTTGTTTTTTTTTTAGCATTTTTTTAAACACATATACAAATATATGTGTATATATATATATTTAGCAATATATGAAAGTCTAAACTGTTAAGTGCTTTTTTATTTATTCATTTTTTTTTTTTACACAAAATTTTT